TTAAAAAACGTTAAAATATATCACGTTAAAATATATCTATTAAAAAAGTTTAAATATATCATGAATATATAGATGTAATAAACTCTCATTACCCAATCATGTCATTGATTATTACTTTAAAATAGCATGTCAAAAATGGCAATTTAAACTATGGCATAAAACACAAAATTAAGTTCTAAAGCTTTCAAGTAAAAAATAAAAAAACTCTTGTAATCAAAATTCAACTGTTGAAAACTTATGAAAATACAAACAGAAAAGAAAGATCCGAATTCTTGAAGAAAAGGTGAAAAACTAAGACCAAAGACAAAGCTTAAAACAACAGCTTGAAAATATTGGGCTTGCAAAGACCAGAGCCAAGGCCAACAGTTTTTTTTTTCCTTTGCAAACATGCTTAGAAAACCGCGGTACTTATAGTAGTATTTTTTACCAGGGATATCAAAATCTGGTATTTATGTAGAAAGCGGTACAATAGGGTACATCATACTTTTCAAATTTTGAATTTTGAATTCGGCGGATGATTTTAATGGTGCCACTATATGTAAAAATGAACTTCCAAAAAAAAAAAAAAAAAAAAAATTTACCTAGGCGGGATTACAGTTTTCGAAAAGGTAAAATTGTTCATTTATGCATAAATGCAAGGGGAGTCAAAACTTTAAAGTTATTGAAATATGAAACTATTTAGATTTTTTACTATATTACCATATGCTGTGAAACGTGAATAACTTTTTTTTCTAAAAAAATTAAATTTTTGCGAGAAAAAGGCCTTATAAGAATGGAAAAAAATGTAAAAATTGGAATTTTTTTCTTAATAAATTTTCAGACTTTATTTGTTGGAATGACGTTTTTATAGTTTAACTTAACAATATCGTTTAGCTTAATTACATTTAATACAAAACAAATTTAAGTTATAGTATTGTCATAAAAATGTTTTTGTTTACAATTTTGTTATAAAAAGGTTACTAAAATTTTTTTTAAATTTAAGCTCTGGCAAAATTTTTCTGTTATTCATTCGTGCTCTCACAAAGCCGTCTCCTTTTTCAAAACCACAAACAGAAAGAGCTGCTTCTGTAACTTCTTTTACTGCCCTTTCACAAGATTGCGTGTAAAGAGGAAAGTACGGAGCTTCAAAGCGAGTGACCAGATATTTGTCAAGATCGTATGAAGAGATTTGGCACGTAAACACTGGTTTTGAAATTTTTTCCTTCTCCCAATCTATTAGCTCTTTGATAGACAAAGCTTCTGTATTGAGAATTTTCTTGACCTTACAGCTGTGTCTCCGAACTGCGAGGTTTTCCTTATATCTTTAACTGTTTTAATGACAAACTTCCTCGATTCTTCATCTGAACTTGACAAAAGAGTTAATTTAAGGGATTCCGTTTATAGGCTCCATTTTGAATGTATTGTGTGGCAATATTTTGAACTTTAATATCTTGTTTTTTCAGCAGTCGCAACAGTGTTACTAAGTGACCTGGGCCATCTACAATACTGTGTTTTACTTTCATTTTATACCACACGTGGAAGTATACTTGAGCTACCCATTTAACGATTAAATGAAATTTTTGAAGTACGTCACCAGTGAAAGTGTGATCACTCATATAGAGAAAAATGATAGCTTCTGCTATGGTAAGCCATCTGCTGTGGCAAATATTTCCACTCTTTGCTTTAGAAAGATTTATGTCCATCTCGCCAGTGGACAAACATTCTACCAACTTGTAACAGAGAGCTGCATCTGTCGACATTGTTTTGAGAACTTTTTCGGGAATTTCAATTAAAGGTTCCAGCTGTTCTATAGGTTCAAAAGTTTCAAGTCTTTTTATGCTATTGACTTTAGATAAAGCTTTTCTAATAGGGCCAGCAAAACTATCCTTTGAATTAGTGGTGCCATCCAGTTCAACAATTATGTGCCTCAATGGTAATTCATTACAATGGAGCATACAAATAGACCAGAATAATTTCCACCCTACTAATTGTTCTAGCAAACCTCCATCTTTTCCTGAACTTGTCATGTAGTTTGTAGAATCTCCACCTACAATCTCTAAGGACTCATGGATTGCCCTTGGAACCATCTAATTGTATAGAGCACATGCGGTTTCTTTGGCTGGTTTACTTGACAGTATAGCTTTAGGTGGTGTGTAATAAGTGAGGTATCTTCCATCAGGCTCACAGGTCACAGTTATATGTTCTTTTTTTATAGTCCTCATGTGAAATTTATTTGTTTAGAGGATTCTGTTCCAACACTAAAGTTGAGTCCTTTCTGCCATCAATACACAAACCTCTAATAGGTTCTTCGTCGATTAACTTTTCTTCACACATTATTACTCTCTCCATTATTTCTTTCCTTGCTTTTTTTACTTTCATAGGATCAACAGCTAAATAAGACATATCAGGCGTCAAATACTTCGCTTCAATAAGGTCTAGAAGAAGGGATGTAACAATAGCTGATGTTGCTGCTGATGAAATATCATATCTTATTGAAACTTCTGCAGTATGACTTATTGACATAGTTTTTTTTCCAAATCTTGTTTTGAAGCGGATCTTCTGAAACCTTTTCTTTGTTTTGAAGCGGATCTTCTAAAATCTTTTCTTTTTTTAAATCTGAATAGTCCTCAATTAAACATTCAACAACGTCGTCATTTTCTACCTTGTATTTTTTTTCCATTTCTAATTTTTTCTCTACTCCAGACTTCCTCTTTATTTTTTTCTCCTCTCGCGAAAACTGTCTCGCGGTGTCTTTAATATCATTGAAACCAATCTGGTATTTTGAAATAGATCCTTTTTTTTCCCTTTGGGCATTAAGCTATGAAAGTTCAACCTTTGGAATTTTTTTATCTTTCACACAAGTACATTTAATATGTACTTGATCAACGCAAAAATAAGTTTTCAAACACAACTCGTTACATAACATAGTTTCACACTTGCAACATGTTATATCTAGCAATTGATCCAGTTTTGATTCCCAAAAAGATACGTGTGTCTGAGAAGCTTTCCCATGTGCTATATCTATGATCTTGTTCCAGGAAAATTCAATTTTCTCCATCAAAGTTTTCTTCCCAATAACCACTGGAGGTTTAAAAAGAGCATTTGCTTTCATCCACTGCTGAAAAAAAATATCAGCTAGTAGTTGAGAAAGGTCTCTTACTGAAATATTCCTTCTAAAAACAAAAATATATAATATAATGCAAAATGTATAATTTGTTTCATAAACTTTGAGTTTCTTGATTATTACCTGTTAACATCTAGTTCTCGAAGTAGAGCCTCTTAGATAAGCAGACCTTTTCTCAAAATATCTCTTAAAGCACTTCTGACGGAATAAGATCCTTACTTCTGCCTAAATATGTTGATAACTTTGTTTCCATAGAGAGTCTTGTGTTTTTTGAAGTAGTCATAGTTAATTTAATATAATTATTGGAAATTTCATTTATATGATTGCAAACTTTTTTTTTTTTTTTTTTTTTTTATTTATTTGAGTTTTCATGCTACATTTTTCTATACAATGTTTTTATATCCGAAGATATTGTTGGCTTAGCATAGGAACAGCCACAAATAGTCATTAAGACTAATCCAAAGTAGCGTCCGTTATTGACAAACATTTTTGCGTACCAAAGTACTACTCAAGCGCTGAGTTGGCGGTAGCGGGATTTGAACTCGTATCGTTCAACAGTCCGGGTTTCAACTTTTTCTTTGACGCTCTAACCATCTGAGCTATCCCGTCTGTAATAATAACAAATAAAAACAAGCCTGTAATAATAACAAATAAAAACAAGAACTCTTTTTATACAGTTTTTAAACCACGAAAAACTCATAAAAACATAATTACAAAGTAAACTCATAAAACTCGTAAAAGATAAACCCATTAAAACATAATTACAAAGTCGTAATAGTCTGAAATCACTTACAATTCAGCCCCCAAGTAAAATAACAACATCATTATTAAGATTTAATTATATTCATTTTGTCTGAATTATAAAGACGTCATTCATAAAAATAAAGTCTGAAATTTTCTAATGAAAAAATTTCAATTAATGTTCTTATTATTTAAAAAATTCAACATTATATTTTATATTTTAACATTTTTTTTCAATCTAATAAGACATTTTTCCCGCGAAAACTTATTTTTTTTAGAAAAAAAAATTTTTCACGTTTTACAGCATATGGTAATGTATAAAAAAAAGTCTAAATAGTTTCATATTTTAATAACTTTAAAATTTTGACTCCCCTTGCATTTATGCATAAATGAAAAATTTTACCTTTTCAAAAACTGCAATCCCGCCTAGGTAAAAATTATTATTATTATTATTTTTTTTTTTGGAAGTTTATTTTTACATATAGTGGCACCAATAAAATCATCCGCTGAATTCAAAATCAAAAATTTGAAAAGTATGAAAGGTGAGTTTCCACTCATCCGTTTTTATACGGGAACGGAATAGGAAAGGGAAAAATAATCACTTTAGCATGCGCAGTTTTACTTTGGACAAATTAGAACTTATAATACGCATGCCCACGTGATTATTTTTCTCTTCCCTTTCCCGTTCCCGTGAAAAAACGGATGAGTGGAAACACACATTTACGCTCTTTCCATAATAACCGGTTAATACCATTTAAAAGTTGATGACGCTAAGAACTTTTAAAATACGGACGTTTTTGAAACTAGTTAAACGATAGTAATTTTAATTAATATCTTGTTTTCAATAAATATCTTTGTTTTAACTATAAATTTGCTAATTTCAACAAATTTTTTACTAATTACGCAAATCTTAGTAAAAATTTCAAGAAATTTTTTGTTATAAATAACTCAAATAATTTTTATACAAAGACATACTCATACTCAAGAAGTTCAAAATCAGATGAATTCAAGTCACTGATTTAAATTTTTTTTGTTTTTATAAGTTATAAAAAATCATCAGA